TAGCTCCCAACCATGGATGTGTTTCACAGTGACAAGGAGAAGAGGCCATGGCTCTCAATACACACGAGGAAGAAATGTTTGAGGAACTGGAGACATACTTTGGTGAGTTCTTTGAAAGTCCAGACTATTATTAGTTTCTAAGGACAACAGTTGAAGAGTCATGCAACATGACAAAGGAGCAAATAAAAATGGCTCACTTTTTAAATACAAACAGGTCATTTACTAACTCACTGGTGCATTTCCTCCTGCATTCAGGATATAAGAACTGCTATGCTGAAAATTCAGGGCACTTTGAGCAAAGTACAAAATTCTCCCCCCTCCACATCCCACCAACCCCAACAGGGTGTCACTAGGTTGCTCTGGCTGTCCTGAAGCTTACTACAAACCAGGCTGACCTTGAATGCATAGAGATCCTCCTGCCTCCTTTTCTTGATGCTGGGGTTAAAGGTACATGCTACCATGCTTGACCTACTTCTATTATCTTTTTAATTGTGTGTCTGTCTGTCTGTCTGCATGCATGCATACACATGCACACATGGGTATAGGTACATGTGAAAGCCAGAGGTATTGTATGTCCCAGGGATGGAGTCTCAGGCAAGTTATGAAGTCTCCCAACATGGGTGCTGGGAACTGAACTCAGGTCCTTTGCAAGAACTGTGTATGTTCTTAGCCACTGACTCATCTCTCCAGGCCTATAAAATGGAAACTTCTTATGAACCCTGACTTGACTGTCAGCCTCTGTGTGACCTGTCCTCTGCCTGCCTCTCCTATCTCTTCGGTCACTCATCTCTCCACAGAGGACTCCAAGTACACAACTCCTCGAGGCTTTTGTCTCTTCCCCCAGTGAAATGTTTTTGCATGACTTGCTTTTCTCCAGTGTGTGGCTTTCCATCAAAGCGTCACCTCCTAGGATAATCTCTCTTGGAAATCACCTTGTTTCATTCTAAGTTTCTGTGTTCATCGTCTGTTCCCCCAAGTAGTAAACTTCCTTCCTTCCTTCCCCAGTTCCCAGAACAGTCCCAGAATAGCCCTTGGCACACGAGCACATTCATTAATTATTTAGTAAGTTCATGAATTAGAGTACTGTATTTACAAGCTGAGATCCAGCTCTTGTTGATGGCTTGAAACTGAATTTTCTAACTCACAAAGATGTCGCCATATCATCTTTTAGTGGCAACAGGGATGGGGGATGGATGCATCCTAACATTTGACCAAGCTGGGGGTGCATTTCAACTTTCTCGCTTTGTAAAGGGGTGCAACGTACCTCAGGGAGTCTTTGTACACACTTGTGCCGTCTTCTCCTCTCCGCCCCCATTTTCCCGTGAGTCACAGCTCGCCAGAGACTGAAGCATCAAAGGGTTTCATCCACTAGACGATGGCCGGAGTGACCTGTAAAAGCTTTCATCACCTCGAGTTGCTTAATGATCCATTGCCTGCGCCGTCCTGGTAGCATCCTCGAAGGCGGTGGACTATTGCTGTTTTCTTACCCAGGAGAGCTAGCATGGAGGCCATAGGGCAAGACTGCTCAAGCCTCCTCTCTCTGCCAAGGTTCTCATACACTGATCAGCTGCGTAAGGCATCTTCTGAGAGTGGCAAAGGGGAACGACGTCACTCCTTCCAGGTCAGGGGTTCTTGGTTGTGGAATCTGTAACCGGAGAGCCTACCTCTGCTGACTCCATTTCCCTCCTCCACGGTCCAGCATTCACCATGGGCTCAGCGAGCTGTCCCCTCAAACCCTACCCTTACCTGGCCAAGTGCACTATGCCTGTACCCAACCCGCCTTTGTTCTGCATCTCACTCAGCCCATTTCATCTTCTCAGAAGTCCCTTCCATGGTCCAAGTCCCGGGCCGCCCTCCATCCTACAACTGTCCTAGCACCAGGTTCTTGCTGCTATGTGTCCAGTTGGGAAATCCCCTAGGCCCCACTCTTCCCCATTCCAAACCCCACCCTCTTGGAAAGACCACCAAAAATCCAGGCTCCTCCCGTGAAGTGCAATACCCTGCCTACAGGGTATGCCCCATTTCTAGACCAACCATGTGATTGCTCCTCATCTCCTCCCCCACCTCATCTGGGGGCGGGGAGGCTGAAAAGGTCACCTGAGAGTGCTTGGCTCATTAAACCTGGTCTTTTAAATTTGACTTTATCTGGTTTACTGTGTTGGTGGAGAAACCTACTATGGGGTACCAAAGAAAAACAAACAAACAAACAAACACACAAAAAAACCCTATTATCTCTATCAGTGTATAAGAAAAGAGAGAGAGAGAGAGAGAGAGAGAGAGAGAGAAGAAGAAGAAGAAGAAGAAGAAGAAGAAGAAGAAGAAGAAGAAGAAGAAGAAGAAGAAG